CACCCCACCTCCCCCGTCCCACCCTATCACAGTCCTTCTTTCCCTCTTTCCACCCATTCTTCAAATTATAAGGTAAAAGAGTATTTATTCATGACGTCCCGAATGAGACTGCTCAGAGAGTGGAGAGCTCGGAAATGTGTAGTAGGCCAAAGTTTATTCTGATGGATAGGGGTGGGTAGGGTATCAAATTGAAAGTGCCAAAATAAAAAATAAAAAAGAAGGTAAAAATTCGATAACAGGGAACCAGTAATGCCGCTGTTATTCTCAAGTAGTTGTTGTTGTTTTTTTTCAACTTCATAAAGTGTTATGAACAATTGTTAAAATGTTTATTCGATCGTTGATATAAGTATTTAAACATTGACAGTTGCCGTAAAAAGGTGTAGTTATAATACGTTCGTTTTAGTAGGGTTTTACAGCGCTCGCAACTGAAAAAGGTCATTTTATGTGGACCAAGGGGTGGATGTCAACAGAGAAGTCCAAACGGTGAATGAGGCTTAACCTACTCCGCTCACCTCTCTAGCTTCAACAGCACAAAGTCTGCTTCGATTATCAATAGCAGTTCACAAGAGAGTGACAAATATACAAAAGAAGTAGAGGAAAAATGACAATAGTAAGGATGGGAAGGAAAAAGCAACAGTCCCCCCCCCCACCCCCCAAATGCTGTTCCGGCACAGTATGAGCATGGCATTGATAAATCAGCCCATTTACAAATTCTATTGTGCATATGAACCTGTTAATATCCCCCTTTTGGGAATGGCCTAAAGACAACTTCAGTCAGAGGTATAGTTCATTCAGCAGGAACCTGTATTGCTACTGTAGTTTTAAAACGCTTATTAAACAAATGTTAATAATATTAAAAGCATTGGCAAGGGATAAGGTGTTTCTCACGGGTCCAGTTATAAAAAAGTGTGTTTGGTGAATGGCACATGTATACAGTGCAACTTTCTGCAGTAGTGTGCACATATCCGATTTGACGTCATGAGTTTAGTGGTTGGGCTCTCAGACTCTTGAACTATGAGGACGATAGTCAGAATACTACCAGGAACCCGATATTTTGTTGGTGGGAAAGGCGCTTCAAACACGAATTTTCCTCACCTAAGGGTATCCAACTATAGACAGCGAAAAATCTTGTCAATTTGTTTGTGTAAGAGCGCTTAACTGTTTGCTTGCTTGCACTGTATGCTTCCCAAGGTACCGAGGATGATTCTGGGTTGCATTCTGGGGTCTGCTGGAGGATTAATGGTTGCTAGGAACATATAAAAATATTATTATTATTA